TGCCAGTTCTAATAGGCGTTCTCCCAGCAGGTGAGGGGTAGGGCCATATTTAAGGGTATTTCTGGTTCATTAGCTGATTAGGCTGGGAAGGATGGGACTTGGGCTGGGGCCACCTGGGTTAGTTCTAAAGAGGTATCCCTTTCAGGCAGCACTATGAAGAATGTTGTGCTTCACGGGCCCAAGTCTAGGTAAGAATCAGCTCAACCTAATGGGAGCTTAATAGCCTCAACTTTCATCTTCTAGTCTTTGAATCCTAAGGGACTATTCTTTGTGCCAATAATTGAGTCTTTTTATCCCGCCTCCTCTAAGTTGGCCCTCAGTGTGTTAATGAGCAAAGTTCAGGCCCACCTCTGTCACCAACAGAAGCACAAGCAGAGGGCTCCACCCCTTCTGCTGGCAGTGAGAAAACAGTGTTGCCACCACCCCTACTCCCAGCAGCATCGTGAACTGGAAAGAAACAGAACCTTGCCTGGCTTTTCATTTTATATGTAAGAATGAATTACATGGAGGGCAGCCCCCATGGCACGGTGATTAAACACTGCGTTGGGAGCTGGAACCCATGGGACTGAATATAGTTCAAATCCTGGCGCTCTAAAGGTTTGTAAAGAACCTGTCTGTATGTATATATGTACTCAAAATCCTGATGGGATGAAGGAAAGGGTGTTGTGGCATGACCCTGTGCCATTGGGAAGTGCTCTTTTTCAGTGAGGGAAGAGATTCTTTATAAGTATGACTTTTATTTGTTGAATGAAGCAATTTCCATATAACCTAGCCCTAATCCCAACTGTAAATTTCTAAAATTTTTTCCTCTGAAGGTCCATGTTTATTCTTTTTTCTATAGGACAGAAAGGTGTCCTGCAACTAGTCAGGAAAGAAAGCCATGACTAAGATGTTATGGGGCACACAGGCCGCAGAGAACAGAAGTTAACAGCCTCCTTCCAGACACCTGGCTTCACAGCAGACTTGGTAGCTAGAAAACTGGGCAACAACACCAAGTTACCTGACATTTAGGATAACATAAATCTCTCTTCGCATGCTGTAGTACGTTTTACTCTGGTTTGCAAAGTGTCAGAGGATGGGCAGTGAAAGTTAACATGATTTCTTCCAGTATCCAGAGGTAAGCAAGCCACTAATCCAGCTAGATCCTGGAAAATTCCAGAAGGAATTTTTATCTCTAACAAAGTAGAGGATGTATCAAATAGGCCACGAACTCTAAGAAATGTTTCAAAAAGGAATTTTCTGGATGTACTTTTGATATCGAGAGAGCATCACAGTGGATCATCCTAACTACTAAGCGTTAGCACTTCTGGCCAGCCCACAGCATGCTGATTAAGGGAACTAGATCCCACATGGTCAGCTGCAGTTTGAATCCTAGCCCCTGCTGCTTGGGAAAAAAAAAAAAAAAAAAAACACTGGGCACAGGTATGCATGTCCAAAATCCTAATGGAATGGGGAAATGGAAGAGAATGCAGTGTGACCATGCCCCACTGGAGGATGCTTGCTCGCTCACTCGCTCTTCCACACAAGTGCATCCTCAGGCAATAATAAAATTAAATGTTGCTGCTTGCTTCTCACAAAGCCTGACATGTGTCTTTAATAGAAAAGATCCTCTCTTAGTCATTATTTGAAGGCAGTAACTTTACCATGACCCTCCCTATGATCTCGCATGATCCTTACCCCAAGTCTTGAACAGGACTGCATATATTTTTTTAATTTTAAAAACTTACTTAAGTGCATTTGTTGTTATTTTTTATTTGACCAGAGAGAGAGAAAGGGAAAGGGGACAGAAGCTACCAGGTGCAGGTCCAGTTCTTGAACTATAGTCCACCCTATGGGAGTCCAGCACTTTAACTACCATACCACCTGCTGGCCCCCAAGACTGCGTATTATATAGAAAGGGCAGAATCATGCAGCTTGTATGTGGCGTGAGCCGTTTCAAGGAGTTTAGAGGGTCATTTTACCTGTATTGCAAGTAGTGCTACAATGAAAAAATTTAGCATTGCTGCTTTCCATTCCAGAAATATAAAGATGAGATTCTATCTTACTGGTCAATTTTTATAGGTAAGGTAGCCATAGCACTTGTAAGATTAGAAGAAAATCAGGCAGTTGAAATAAGAGAAACCCAATAGAAAATTGAATCAGGGGCCAGCAGATCGTGCAGCAGTTATGTCCCACATGGCCAATGGCAGTCTGAATCCCAGACCTGGTGGCTTGAAAATCACACTGGGTGTGTGTACATGTGTGCCCAAGATCCTGGGAAGAGGGACCAGATGATAGTGTAATGGCTATGTCGTTGGACTCCCATGTAGTCGACCGCGGTTCAAGTCCCAGACCCAGTGGCTTAAACTCAGGCCTGGCGCGTGTGTGTGTGTGTACGCGCACACATGTGTGTGCACGCGCCCAGGATCCCAGGAGAATGGAGGAGAAGGGACTGCAGTGTGGCCATCCCCCTGGGGTAATTTCTCACTTTCTGTGTCTCTGTCTCTGGTGAGCGCACATGTACTATTGCAAAAACCCCCCCCCCCCCCAAAAAAAAGAAAAGATCCTGGGGGAAGAAAATGGAGGAAAAGGAATTGCAGCATGGCTATCCCCCTTGCGGGGTGATTTCTCACTTCCTCTCTCACTGTCTATGTGACCCAGGCCAGATGAGCCTGGGCATAGGTCATGCATGAGGACCCTGTTGGAAGTGCCTATTTGTCTCTCAGAAGAAGTAAACTTCAATTAAATAAACTGAAGGAGGGGGCCAGCAAGTGGCATGGTGGTTAAGGTGCTGGACTCCCACATAGCTGACCACAGTTCAAGCCTGGGACCTGGTGGCTTGAAAATCATACCAAACACGTGGCCAGAAAATCCTGAGAGGAGAATGGGAAGAGGGATTGCAGCATGGACATCTCTGCTGACGGGAAGTAGACATTTCCTCTCTCTCTCTCTCTCTCTCTCTCTCTCTCTCCCCCTCTCGAGTAAGCCTATGAGCCCTGTAGAATGGAGGGGACATCATTCCACAATTTAAATTTGCATTTATGCAATGAATGCATTCCATTTTATTGGGACATTATATCACATGAAGAAAATAGAATTCACGATGAGAGAAACCTATGGGAAATGCATTTTAAATGCATAACTACCTCTTCCCACTTTATGGCTTAAGCCTCGTGAAGTTGTACAGATCATCAGAATGGAAAGAGGGAGAGGCTAAGGTTTACTGAACACAGTGCTTGGCCCTCTAACATTTACTATCTTAATCCTTGCCATAGTTCCCTGTGGTGGTATTTCTACCATCTCCATTTTCTAGGCAAAGCTCAGGGGAGAGAAGAGACCTGTCCAAGGTTATAGATTCAAAGACCCTGACTTCTTCATTTGGTCCATCCTAGTTGTCACTGGAGAGATGAGCTAGAAGCTGCAGAGATGTTGCCCAGCCAAGTGTGAAGCCTGGCCTTCTTCAGGTCTAGTCCCACTTCACTGCTCCCAGATAACTAGGTTCCTCCAGCCAGCTCTCCTTGCCAGCACTTATCCTGGGGGTTCAGTTACCTGTATTACCAATGGATTAAGCTAAGGCAAGACCACTGGCTTATTTGTCACTATTGCCAGTAACAAGCATGTGCCTACCAGTGATGGGGGAATCCTGCTGTGATAGCCCGTCACTTGCTGCCTCCCCAAAAAAGCCCCTCTCCCGTATTTACACCTAGAGGTATGTAGTTAATGGTGGAACTATTGGGTCACCTGGAAAGTCATGACACATTTTTTGCATAGAAAAACAGGAATACTCATGACTTTCCCGATGACCTAATAAATAAAGAGGAACAGGGATGGAGTAGAGAACAGATACATTAAAAGGAATCTCAGGGCCAGCAGGTGGTATAGTAGTTAAGTTGATGGACTTCCACATGGCTGATCATGGTTCAAGTCCTAGACCTGACAGCTTGAAACGTGCGAGGTCACGTGCGTGCATGTCCAAAATCTTGAGAGGAGAATGGAGAACAGACTGCAGCATGGCCATCCCCCTGGAGGGTGACTTCTCATTTTCTGTCTCTCTGGTGAGCACACACACCTATAGCAAAACTTAAAAGAAAAAAAAGAATCTTAATACTAAAATTTCAGAGCAAAGCAGGATTGCACAAGTATTTCTTGAGAGATTATGCAAGGCAAATTCTTTAACTTTAGAAGCATCACCCTCCCTCTAGAAAAAAAGAATGTGGGCTTTACTTAGTACAGCTAGCTGGACACAGATCAGCTGGTTGGCTGGACAAAGCCATGGGATCTCGATGAGATTTACAGTAAGTCAGGGGTCAGCTCTGGTGCAGCAGTAACAGGCTACTCAAGAGCAGCTGAATCTCCATGGCAGTCAGCTTGAATACCTGACCTGGTCAGCCTGAGACACACCAGGCACCCCTGTGAGTCTCCAAGATCTTGCGAGCTAGAGGACTGAAGGAAGGGATCATGGTATGCCCAGACCTTGTGGAAAGTGCTCATGTCTGTTTTATCTCACGTATAAGCACACACACCCTATTGGGAATGAAATGTTTTTTAAATACTAGTAAGTTCAAATGAATTTTTATTAGGTTGCCTTTTCCCGTGAGCTAGTGGATACTCAGGCCTATGATTTGATTCTTATTTATTTTTTAAAAAGATGAGTATAGGGCCAGCAGATGGCATCGTGGTTACGGCACTTGGCTCCCACATAGCTAACCACGATTCCAGTCCCGGACACACTGTCTCGAAAATCATGCTGGGTGTGTGTGCATACATGTCCAAAACCCCAGGGGAAGAATGGAGACAGGAATGTGGTATGTCCACCCCCCCAGGGAGTGATTTCTTCATTTCTCTCTATCTCTGTCTCTCCAGCAAACACATGCACCCTATGGCAAAAAACTAAAATTAAAAAAAAAAAAAAAAGTGTATATGTGGCACTGGAGTATAGATACGGGGTAAATTCAGATAGAAATGAGGAATTAAAGGGATCTTGTTTGCCTCAATGGGGGAAAAAAGGCCAAAAGTCAGAATCACACTTGAAGATACATTGTTGAAAAATCCAAACTATAAAATTCATTACCTGTCCTTATTACATCAACATAAAAAAAGGGCATTTAAAACAAAACATTTGACATGTGAAAACTGAAAATAGAAAAGACGGCTTTTACAATGTTAGAGTGCATGATTTATAAATACATAAATACCCATGTGTACGTTGACAGTGATAGCTACTGAAGAGTGAGAACTTTGGAAAGCCGATCTAGAGACTCCTTTTCGTTCCAGCTGTCTTCACATTCGTGACACCCGTGCTGTTGTGTCAGGGTCATTCATTCCAGACTCCTTCCCAAGCCTGTAGCTGCTGATGAAAACGTGATAAATCTTCTGCCTTAGCTCTGATGCTGAGGAAAAAAGAACAGATTATGTCACCATGTACCCAGTGAATCAAATTTATCATAAATTAAAATATAGCAGTTATATAATATTTATGTACTACCCAGATGGTAAGTATACTCAGAAATTAATATTTTACTGCACACAGAAAATTCAATAAAACTTTGACCATATGATCCCTTTGGAAGCCAGAACCTAATTTTGTTTCCAGTTTTCACTTGCAGTCTATAAATGTTCACAATTTAAAGTGATAAAGGAAATACTTAAAATACGACTTTTCCTGGCCTGCTCTGCAGTGAAGGGCTACTTATTGCTCTAAATTAAAAGCAGTTGGATTCAGGTAGTAATTCACAACATCTCATGTTGAGTCAGTATATTTAGATGTGAAGGTTATATATTTCTGGATTTCACACTATTAGAAACTGTAAAAGCATGTCTTCAAATAGTGGTGAACTGGAGCAGATACATTCTTTCTGGGTACTCTCTAGCACCTTTGGTAAATTTAAACTTGGCTTTAGACAACTCTTAAGCAGAGTGTGAAAAATATCACTTTGGCTGTCACCTTGTATTTTAATGGATTTCCTTAACATTTAACGCTGCGAGTGAATCAATCTGAGAGTCTTTTTAGTAATCAGCGATTTCAAGGTATGACCTAGTTCCTAACTATACCAGTCAGTCATTTTCAGAGGCAAAAAACCCCACAAAATTCTTCAGTAAAAGCAAATGTAAGATATCTTTCTCCTTGTAGGAAAATGCAGTTATCAACTAAAGAAAGTCTTAAGTCCAAAGAAAAGAAAATCTCCTAAACCATCTCTCAGATTTCTATTAGGACAGACCAGGCAGCCTCTGGGTTTGGCTGATGCAAGTGATCTTTTCCACCACAAGGTGTTGGCAGGTGATTCAGTCACCCTGGTACCAGACAACAAGACTGGTCCATGGGGTTGGACATAGTTTTTCCAGTTTCTATTTTTAATGTATAAAAAGACGAGTAGCTCAAGGTCTAGGAGGTGGTGTGGTAGTTAGGGTGCTATACAACAGACCACGGCTTGAGTCCTAGACTTGGCGACTTAAAAATCACTGTGTGTGTGTGTGTGTGTGTGTGTATGTGTGCGTATGTGCGCGCGCGCATATGCGCTCACATGTGTATGACAGAAATCCCAGGAGGACAATGGTGGAGAAGGGACTGCAGTGTGGCCATCCTTCCTGGGGGGTGATTTCTCACTTTTTCTCACTGTCTCTGTCTCTATCTGGTGAGTGCACACATCCTATGGCAATAACCTTAAAAAAATTAAAAAGACAAGTAGTTCCACTGAACATTTATCTTGGGATACAAGACCTCCTCTGATTTAACTCATCTGACAGGCTGAATTATTTATTTTTTAGCACAGAGAGAGGGAAAGTGAGAAATCACTTTCTAGGGGGGCTGGCAACTCTGCAATCTTCTCCATTCTCCTCTCAGGATTTGTAGCATGCACACACATGCACCTAGCTTAACTTTCAAGCTGCCAGGTTCAAGACTCGAACTGTGCATTTGACCATGTGGGATCTACCTACTTTAGCCTCCATGCCACCTGCTGGCCTCAGGCTGAATTTTTAAAAATACCAACACTTGCAAACTTAGAAACACAGCCGTTTCTCCCAGGGAGCAGAAGCGCCATGGGCTCAGAGTTGCTAAGGCTGGAAAAAGGCATAAATGCTGATGATGTGCAGGCACACACCTCTTCTACGCATTTCACATACACTCTTCATACTGCTGTTTTCCCTCTTGGGATAAAAATGTTCTCAGGAAAAATGGGCCAGGTAAGTAGGCTGATAACTTTTCTCTGTGCCAATAGCAATAGCTTCCTGGTCAATCACTCCTCTTCCTCCTTAATTAACACATTACCTTACAAATACAACTCTGAGCAGTCCAATGACACCCTTCCTGAGTCAAGTGCTGCTCCTTGCTAATTACCACTCATTAATAGGTGGGAGGCTGGGCCACCACAAAGCCTGGAGCAGGTGCCTAGGGGTGGCAGCTAGACTATTGAGAGTGTTGGCTCAAGTTATTTGTGTTTGAATCTCTCTTTTTCACACTGCAACTGTCTGACAGATCGACTTGTTAGAGACCAATGCTTCTCCTTCCCTCAGAATGAAAGAGAAAAAACAGAGAGGGTTGGACAGACTGGAGAGATGTACTTGCCTCAAAGCTGCAGAATGGCCAGAAATTTATTTTTAAAATCTCACTTAAGAGAGTTTCTATCTCTAAGTCATTATCACTGTCTGGTCTCAAGATACCAACAATGCCAGACGATTGATTCATTTCTACTTGCTAGCTAGCTTTAAAACCCAACTAAACTCTAATTTTAGAGCTAAGGATCAATCCTGGGCAGAACAACAGACATTTTCTGGTGTGTGGCTTGACATCGGGGGTTTTCAGTCTCTAGGCGGGCAAAGTTGCTAATGTTTGCCAGCCGCCTCTATTACATGCAGAACCCGCAGGCCAGGGCAGGACTGCTGCAGAGTCCCTGCGGCTCTCTCCAGTGGGTTCTCAGGGTGGGCTTCATGGGGAGGGAACAGCCCTCAATACTTTACAGATCTGTCATGCTACACAAAGGGCTCATCCTCGGGATAGGCCTTTCCAGAACCTTTTTTTTTTTTAATTTAAATGAGGTTTTTGCCTTAGGACATGTGTGCTCTTGGGGGTGGGGGGTACAGACAGACACAGTGAGAGGGAAAGTGAGAAATCACACCTCCAGGGAGAGATGGCCATACCACAATCCCTTCTCCTCCATTCTCCGAGGATCTTGGGCTTGCACGCACATGTGCCCAGCATAATTCAAGCCACCAGGTCCAGGACTTGAACTATAATTGGCCATGTGGGAGCCCAGCAACGTAACCACCATGCCATCTGCTGGTCCCTTATCCAGGAGAATCTTAACAACTGGCAAAACACTATACACCCTCTAAGTATCTCACTTTTCAGGATCAACTGAATTTCATTTCCAATGGCAGCAACAGTCTAAAATTAAACTTGGTTACTAAAAAAACACCATTTCATCTGGAGGAAGCTGCAGCATACATAAGCACAAAATGCTATGGACTCATGGCCTATGTGCAGGCTTCTTCCAGGTAGCCCATTGCTAGTGACTAGCAGGACAGTGCAGGTTCCAGGGGTGCTAAGTTCATGCCTGAGGACTCCTCTGGAGGCCCTGTTCTGATCTCCCATAGTCAGCATGACTGGAAAGAATGCAGCTATCTTCGGAAACATACGAGACAGAAGCATAATGAAGAACTGAGTTAGAACAACATCTGGAGGAGGACAGAAAATGCTTCAGGAACAAAATGCCAAGGGAACAATCTGCCGCGAGCAGTGTGTGAAGGCTCACCCCATTCTGTTTGCCCCGTCCCTGCCCTATGGGGGCCACTCCAGTAGCTAGCAACTATCTAGCCCCTAGAGTTAGGGCCTGGTTGTGCCCCAGGAACCCCAACACTATGTGATACACAAAAAAAGACTGCCCAAGGGGTTTTTAGAAGTATAACATAACCAAAAGGCCGCAGACTGACAGTTCACATGGCTCCCTGGTTGAAACAGTTTAGTAACAGCTGACTTTAAAACAAAATAGGGCTAGCCAGTGTCATGGTGGTTAAGGTGGCTGGATCCCACAGTCAACTATGTGGTTCAAGTCCAGACCCGGTAACCTGAGAAACATTCATGGCCCCATGTGCAGCATGCCCCAAATCCCAATGAGAGTGGAGAAGGGACTGTGGTGTGGTCCTCGGAGGGTCCTTTCTCACTTTCAGTCTCTGTCTCCAACAAGTGTACATGCAATATGGCAAAACTTAAAAAAAAACAAAAACGAATCGGGGCCAGCAGGTGGTGTGTTGGTGAAGGGCACTGAACTCCCACATGGCTGACTCCAGTTTGAGTCTCTGCAGCTTCCCCCCCCCTCTCTAGTCAAATTAAAAATAATTGTTGGCTGGCAGGTGGCATGGTGGTTAAAGGTGCTAGACTCCCACATGGCTGACCGTAGTTCTAGTCCTAGACCTGGCAGCTTGCTCTCTCTGGTCAAAAACTGAAAAATAATGAAACCAGCAGATGGATTAATGGTTACGTCACTGGACTCCCATGTAGTCGACCGTGATTCGAGTCCCAGATCCGGTGGCTTAAACCTCACACTGGGCATGTCTGCATATGTGCCCAAGATCCCAAGAGGAGAATGGAGAAGGGATTGTGGCGTGGCCATCCCCCCTGGAGGGTGATTTCTCCCTTTTTGTGTATCTCGCTCTGTCTCTCTGGCTAGTGTACACACCCTATAGCAAAAATCTCTTTTAAAAAAAATTGGGAACCAGCAGTTAGCATAATGGCTATGTCGCTGGACTCCCACATAGTCGACCGCGGTTCTTGTCCCGGACCCGGTGGCTTAAAACACGCCGGGCGCATGTGCGTGCGTGCCCAAGATCCTGAGAGGAGAATGGAAGAGAAGGGATTGCAGCGTGACCATCCCCCCTGGGGGATGATTTCTCGCTTTCTGTCTCTATGTCTCTCTCTGTCTGTCTGGCGAGCGCACGTGCCCTATAGCGAAAACCTCTCCAAAAAAAAAATTTTTGAAAAATAATGATAATAAATAATTCTTTAAAAATAATAATAAATAAAGGTAAATAAAATAAAGCAAAATAGTGGGCCAGCCCCATAGCCTAGTGGTTAAGGGAGCCAGATCCCACATATCTGACCCATAGTTTGAATCCCAGCCCTGGCAGTGTGAAAAACATGCTAGCATGTGTGCGTGCCTAAAAGCCTGACAGGATGGAGAAATGGAAGAAAAGGAATTGTAGCATAGTTACGCTCCATTAGGGGATGCTTTCTCCATCTCTCTCTGGTGTGTGCACATGCCCTTTGGCAATTACAGAACAAAACAAGGGTCAGCAGGTGGCATGGTGGTTAAGGCACTGGATTCTCACATGGCCAAATGTGGTTCGAATCCTGGACCTGGCAGCTTGAAAAATCACACCAGGCACATGTGTGTGTGCCCAAAATGCCAGGAGGAGAATGCAGGAGAAGGGATCACAAGCATGGCCATACCCTTGGAGGGGTGATTTCTCACTTTCTCTCTGTTTCTCTCTGGTGAGTGCACATGCCCGATGGCAAGAAACTAAAAAACAAAACAAAAACAAAATAGTACCTCAAACATAAGCTTTTCCTTAAGTTTACTCATTCTTCCATGAGACAGAGAAGGGGGGCACTCCCCAGCAGGGTCTCCATGCTGTGATCCGCCCCATCTCAGCCAACCAGATCTAGGGCCCATGTGTATGCGTGTACCTGGTGTAATCAAGGAGGTCCAGGTCCTGCTCCATGTGCAGATACATTAGCACTGCCACTGCCTGGCCCCCAACCTGAACCTTCTCACTCCAGGTTCAGAATAAAAAGTAAAAGAATATCAGGACCAGCAGATGGTGTAATGGTTATATTGCTGGACTCCCACATAGTCGACTGCGGTTTGAGTCCCGGACCCAGTGGCCTGAAACTCACACCAGGCACATGTACTTGCATGCCCAGGATCCCAAGAGGAGAATGGAGGAGAAGGGATTGCGGCATGGCCATTGCTCTTGGGGGATGATTTCTCACTTTCTGACTCTCTGTCTCTGCCTCTCTGGTGAGTGCCTATAGCAACAATCTGTCTAAAAAAATAAAATAACTTAAAAAAAATTTTTTTAAGGGGAACCAGCAGTTAGCGTAATAGCTATGTTGCTGGATTCCCACGTAGTCGACCGCGGTTCGTGTCCCGGACCCGGTGGCTTAAAAAAAACTCACGCCGGGCGCGTGTGCGTGCGTGCCCAAGATCCCGAGAGGAGAATGGAGGAGAAGGGATTGCGGTGTGACCATCCCCCCTGGGGGGTGATTTCTCGCTTTCGGTCTCTATGTCTCTCTCTGTCTGTCTGGCGAGTGCACGCGCCCTACAGTGAAAATCTCTCCAAAAAAAAAAATTTTTTTTTAATATTTAAAAGAGCTATTTCAGTGGCTTAGTGTACTGAGGCACTGTTTAAGAGAAGCAAATCCCACCTGGCAACTGTGATTGGCATCCCCATCCCAGTCAACCAGAAACATACTGGCACGTGGGCTAGTGCCTCGGATCCAGCAGCTGGAGGACTGGAACGAGAGCATCCAGGCATGACCAGACCCTGTACAAAGTGCCCCTCCCTCCTCCCTCTGATGCTTACATGTCTGCAAATATACTCTGTCATGAATAAAGAATAAATAAATTTTTCATAAAAATCTGAAATCTAGGGGCTGGCAGGTAGTGTGGTGGGTGAGGGATTGGGTTCCTACATGGCTGACCACAGTTCAAGTCCCAGACCTGGCAGCCTGAAAACCACAACAAGTAGAAAAATAAATGTTAGTGTGCGTGCGTGCCCAAGATCCCGAGAGGAGAATGGAGGAGAAGGGATTGCGGTGTGACCATCCCCCCTGGGGGGTGATTTCTCGCTTTCGGTCTCTATGCTCTCTCTGTCTGTCTGGCGAGCGCACGCGCCCTACAGTGAAAATCTCTCCAAAAAAAAAAATTTTTTTTTAATATTTAAAAGAGCTATTTCAGTGGCTTAGTGTACTGAGGCACTGTTTAAGAGAAGCAAATCCCACCTGGCAACTGTGATTGGCATCCCCATCCCAGTCAACCAGAAACATACTGGCACGTGGGCTAGTGCCTCGGATCCAGCAGCTGGAGGACTGGAACGAGAGCATCCAGGCATGACCAGACCCTGTACAAAGTGCCCCTCCCTCCTCCCTCTGATGCTTACATGTCTGCAAATATACTCTGTCATGAATAAAGAATAAATAAATTTTTCATAAAAATCTGAAATCTAGGGGCTGGCAGGTAGTGTGGTGGTTGAGGTATTGGATTCCTACATGGCTGACCACAGTTCAAGTCCCAGACCTGGCAGCCTGAAAACCACAACAAGTAGAAAAATAAATGTTAAAATAAATAAATGTTTGAAAAAATATCTGAAATCAAGTGGGGTGTGCTGTTTGGTACTTTCTGGGCAGCTAAGGGTTTAATTCCTTGATACCCATACTGAAGGGGATCTCTATATTCCTTGCTTGCCAAAACAAGACCCAACTGGAGTGAAATAGGGGCCACCTGCTGGCCCACCTATGTTTCTGAGGATAGAACTAAAAAGGAATCAGCAGCTTTTATCTCTACTGTGTTGTTCAATTTTGTAAATATCCTCTCTGAGGTGTGCCTAGCTTAGGTTCTGAACTATAAGGACTAAACTTTAGGCACCATCTCTTCCCTTCATTTCACAGTCTGCTCTAAAAGAGGCCTGGGTAGGGAGCAACTGGTGGCACAGTGGTTAAGATGGCTAGATCCCATATGGCCAACTGCACAATTCAAGACCCTTAAGAAAAAACACCAGGCACATGTGTGTGCGTGCCCGAAACCCTGAAAGGAGGAAGAAATGAAGGGATTGCAATGTGACCATTCCCCAAGCGGGGATGCTTTCTCACTTTCCTTCTCTTTCTCTTTCTCTGGCAAGCATACACCCTCTGGCAAAATAATTTTTAAAACTTTTTTTAAAAAGAGGTCTGGATAGAATTATTAAAGAATCTTCCGAAGAAAAGGGAACAAAATTTTGTTTGCAGACTGGGACAAATAAGAAAAAGCATGTTGTGAAGGTGATTCTGAGAAGTAGCTGGGAAGCCCTGCTGCATGCTCTGAGTTTCTGCCACACTCTCCATAATCCAGCTCCAGGGTCCTGATCCAAACCTGGCCACAGCGCACTGTGTAAAAAGTCCACAGCCTCAGATCAAGGAACAGCAGTAGTGTCTGGACATTACCCCAACCACATTCCTATCAGCAAGTCAGAGAGGCCACATAAGTCTAGTCCAGCCCTCACAGCAGGAGTAAGGATGAGTTATTATGTTACCAATGAGATTTTTTTTAAGAATTATTTATTTTCCTTACTATTATTATTTAATTTGCTATCATCATCAGAGACAGAGAGAGAGGGAGAGTGAAAAAGCACCACCACGTCTGGGACTCAAATTGCAGTCAGTCATGTAGGAGTCCAGCACCCCCTAACTATCATGCCACCTGCTGGCCCACCAAAAATTTTTTAAGTGGGAAACTAGTGCTCTAGACAATAGTTTCTCAAAAATCAACCAAAGTACTCAAAACAGAATGTCAAATGTATGTGTTACTCTACTGAGTTATCTAATTATAAAAAGGTTTACGATTACTAGAAAATATACATGAAGCAGCTTAGATCTTTGGGCTAGTAAATAAGAGCATTCAAAAATAATGTACTCACATCCAGCAATTGGTGTAATAGCTATGTTGCTGGACTCCCATGTAGTTGACCGCAGTTTGAGTCCCAGACCCGGTGGCTTAAACTCACACCAGGCGCATATACATGCATGCCCAAGATCCTGGGAGGAGAATGAAGGAGAAGGGATTGCAGTGTGCTTCTTTTTCTTTATTTCTCCCTTTTTCTCGTGCGTGCATGTGCCGTCATTGGTAAATGCTAATAATTCACTCTAACATAGTGTCAGCAAAGCAGGGATTATTAATTTTACACCAAATCATCCAATGCACTTGGAAATCCTGTTTACCTTTTTCATTAATTCACTTCTGGTAGTAAACTGTGGCAAGTCTTCCACTTCAATCCCATCAGCCATTTCCATCACCTTGTCTAACAGGTCTTTATTGTAACTGCACGATAGAAAAGTAGTAAGGTTAAAAACAAAAGCCTTGGAAGAATTATTTGTCATCACAGGTTAATAAGAAATTACAGGTTGCAGGACCAGCAGTTGGCATAATGGCTATGTCGCTGAACTCCCATGTAGTCGACTGTGGTTTGAGTCCCAGACCTGGTGGCTTACACTCACGCCTGGCGTGTGTGCATGCGTGTCCAAGATATCCCGTGAGGAGAATGGAGGAGAAGGGATTGCGGCATGGCCATCCCCCCAAGGGGTGATTTCTCGCTTTCTGTCTCTCTCTTTCTGTCTTCCTGGTGAGTGCACACGCCCTATAGCAAAGCCTCTCAAAAAAAAAAAAAAAAATTACAGGTTCCTAGTCTCAGAAGACTGGTTTGATACTGCAGAGGGAACCTTTACATGTTTAGCACAAGGTTAGGGAACAGTTCTTCCTTCTTGTGGACAGAGAAGTGGGCTTGAGGGATGCAACAGAGCAGACATTTCAAGATTTACAGAAACAGAGGACCCATACATCTGGCAGTATATATTCTTGGATATGGTATAAAGGCAAAGAATATTTTTGACTTTTTAAAAAAAAAAAACGTGGAATATTGGTCTAATGAAAATAACATTACTGTATTGGTTCATTTGCCCAGTTCGCTGACATTTTGTAACCTTGGATCCCCTGAATCAGGATTTCCCAGGGGCATCTGGAAGGCAAAGAGAAGGAATGGATGCATCTAGCCCAGCTCCCCCACATCCTTTTCTAGTAAAGCCCATCATCTATTGCAAAACCAAAGCGCTGAGGCCTGGGTGGGCCATGCACCCACAGTCAGGAGTCATAATAGGTATAGAAATCAGGTCCAAACTTCAGGAAACTCTCAAATAAAAGGGTACAGGAAGCCTCAAGATTGGTTACCACCTTCATGATGGCATAAAGAACTGCCTTATCAGAAACTTTGAAAGCAGGCCCTTGCCTTCTTGATTTAACAGCCAGGATGCAGTGGGCTTTGGCACCTTGACAAAAAGACAGCTGTTATTTTCATAAGAGGGCAGACAGACAGGCAGAGCTGGCTCCTGTTCAGGACCCAGCAGGCTGGAGCGTGGGGGAGAAACTGCCAAAGGACATAGCTTATATCCTGCCCTAGGTGGTAAAATCCTCCAATCCTGCCAGAAGCTGCCAGGCCTAAGTAAATCGCTCCCCCTCCCCGCACTCCATCTGTAAAATAGGGATCTCAGTGTCTGTCTGCACGTCTCTGCCCTATGGGTGAATGGAGCAATGGACTTAAAATTACTCTCCAAAGGTGGTGGTTTGAGTTTTTTCTTCATGGTGAGTACACACGCCCAATAGCAAAGCCCCTCAAAAAAAAAAAAAAAAATTACAGGTTCCTAGTCTCAGAAGACTGGTTTGATACTGCAGAGGGAACCTTTACATGTTTAGCACAAGGTTAGGGAACAGTTCTTCCTTCTTGTGGACAGAGAAGTGGGCTTGAGGGATGCAACAGAGCAGACATTTCAAGATTTACAGAAACAGAGGACCCATACATCTGGCAGTATATATTCTTGGATATGGTATAAAGGCAAAGAATATTTTTGACTTTTTAAAAAAAAAAAACGTGGAATATTGGTCTAATGAAAATAACATTACTGTATTGGTTCATTTGCCCAGTTCGCTGACATTTTGTAACCTTGGATCCCCTGAATCAGGATTTCCCAGGGGCATCTGGAAGGCAAAGAGAAGGAATGGATGCATCTAGCCCAGCTCCCCCACATCCTTTTCTAGTAAAGCCCATCATCTATTGCAAAACCAAAGCGCTGAGGCCTGGGTGGGCCATGCACCCACAGTCAGGAGTCATAATAGGTATAGAAATCAGGTCCAAACTTCAGGAAACTCTCAAATAAAAGGGTACAGGAAGCCTCAAGATTGGTTACCACCTTCATGATGGCATAAAGAACTGCCTTATCAGAAACTTTGAAAGCAGGCCCTTGCCTTCTTGATTTAACAGCCAGGATGCAGTGGGCTTTGGCACCTTGACAAAAAGACAGCTGTTATTTTCATAAGAGGGCAGACAGACAGGCAGAGCTGGCTCCTGTTCAGGACCCAGCAGGCTGGAGCGTGGGGGAGAAACTGCCAAAGGACATAGCTTATATCCTGCCCTAGGTGGTAAAATCCTCCAATCCTGCCAGAAGCTGCCAGGCCTAAGTAAATCGCTCCCCCTCCCCGCACTCCATCTGTAAAATAGGGATCTCAGTGTCTGTCTGCACGTCTCTGCCCTATGGGTGAATGGAGCAATGGACTTAAAATTACTCTCCAAAGGTGGTTTGAGCTAGTGACGGTAAAAATACGAACAGCAATAGCAACTGTCGAGCCCACTATGCACTAAGCTCTTGACCCTTTCGCTACAAGCTATCACAAGCACCCACTGCCAAATGCGGAAACTGTGGCTCAGAGAAGTTACTTTCCAATAGGCTGCCAGGATGGAAAAAGGCCGTCATACTGGCCAGTGAGGCTGTGGTTGGAGCCGGGTTCAGTCTAGGGCAGGGGTGAGCCCTGGGAGAGGACTACGGGTCAGAAGGCAAGGGACAAAGGTCAGCCGGCCGGCAGGGGTCCGCACCTGCAGCCCAGGAAGAGGTGGTTGGCCCAGACCATGGAGAGGGACAGCAGCTGGTCCAGGCGACCGCCGCCGTCCGGCGGGTCGCGGTAGTCGGGCAGGTGGCGCAGAATGAACTCCATGCGGGCCTTCCATTGCTTCTCGCTCTCCGAGTAGGAGCGGAACTGCT